TTTTATTAATTAAATAGAAATTATTTATGTTCACAAATGTGAACATAAAATAAAAAAATTTTGATTTTTTTAAAAAAATTTATGCTCTTGTGAACACTGTGAACATATGATTTCCAACACTGGGTGTAAGGGATAAAAGTTATAAAAATTTTTATTGGGCGATACAGTAATAAACAATATATTATATAGTCACATGCTCAATTTTGATTGGCTATTCCTATAGGGTCGTCATGGCGACCCGTCGCCATAAACTAACGCCCATATATATACAGTATATATATTAGTGAATTATGTTTTTTTAAAATATAAAAGTATAATAAATCCGGATTAAAATTCGGATTATTAAAACATGTCCGAACTGTTCAGATGATTTGTTTTTTTTTAACGGGATCGTATCCCTATATAAATAGCAAACTTTGATACATGAATCTTTCATTTTCAATTTCTAGATTTTGATTGGAAGGCATGTAACTGCGATATTTTCACGACATTGACTAACCCTTTTTTGAAATAGTCATTTTCTAAAAGACAATTTGATACAATTTTTATAAATAAAACAAGATTTCCGGGATCTTATTGAGGTACTTTGCGATAATTAACGATCTTTTAATATTTCTCCTTACATACTGTATAGTACTACCATGTTAGCACAAGTTTCCGTGCGTTACATGTTGTAGGTATTATGGGATGATTTAACACCAGCACGAGCCAATTCATATAACCTTACTTCAAATCCGATAGTGAATTTTTTACGGCAAAATCCTTGCCATAGTAGCATAAGATGAATCACATGATAATTGCGCATCCGCTTTAATTTGAAAAATTTTCCTAATAAGGGAACGTTTCTAGAAAGGGTTTAATATTCTTATTGGTTTGAAGTCACGTGAATGTGCATGCTTTAGACTATTCCCTAATAAGGTAATAACTGATTAATATATAAGGCCATCTGATTTAGCTTTTACAGTACAAACATGAGTCTTTCCGTGAACTTTAACACACATTCTCAATCGCTTACGTCGGCTTACAGAGATGTTAGAGATGGAGAAATAAATAAATGGGTAATTTATGGTTATGATAAAGGAGGGAATGATCTAAAGGTTTTGGGAAACGGAGGTATTGTCGCAATGTCAATATTTCCCTAAAGTTTTAATAAATTTTGAGTATCTAAAGCAGAGAATATACATAATTTATAGATGGAGGACTTGATGAATTACAAGAGGAATTTAATGATGGTAAAATTCAATATGCTTATGTGAAAGTAAAGGATCCCAATTCAGAATTACCTAAAATTGTACTTATTGGTTGGGTATGTCTTTAATCCGGCAGCTTGTTCAAATTTATACAAGTCTTCATATTTAAATAAATAGTGAGATCTTACTGTTTTTGCATACTTAAGTGCGGAGAGAGTGTACCGGAAGCAAAAAAAGGATTATTTAACTCACACCTTAATGAAGTTTCCAATTTTTTAAAGGTTTGCAATTTTTGTATTCAAAACTTATAATTAGCTGTGTGATGCTGAATTTATTTTATATCTTTTTTTAACAGGGATATCATCTCCAAATAAACGCTAGAACTGAGGTGAGAAATATCATGATTATTTTCTTGACCTGTGCCTTTATTTTTTGATATTTATTTTACAAATTCTGCTTTTTAGAGCGATGTTGAACCATCATATATAATGAAACGTATCGAAAAGAGTGGTGGATCTAAGTACTCTGTTAATGTTGATAAAAATGCACCACCACCAAAGCCAGAACCTATTTTACCAGTGGTATGATATCATTTATTCAGGTTCAAATGAGAATATTTACAATTATTAATTGGTATATTTGATGTAGAGATCGGTGTACAAGCCTGTTCAAATACCAAATATTACTGAAATCCAACGAAATGCTCCTCGAGAGAGGATCGAACCTGTGGTATGCACTTTTTATTTAATGATTGATCTATCAATATCTGCTTTAATTTTATAATCGGAGTTAAGCTGGGCTAGTAGAGTCTATAGTTATTTGAACTTACACAAATGCTAAATGGTTAAGATGATGTGCAGCATAGCATAATAACGATATAATAGTGTGAAATCATATATACAAAAAAGATTCTTGCTTCAATTATTACATACATTTCTGTCATATAGAGATCGGTCTATGAACCTGTTAAAGTACCAGATATGAATGAATTGAGGCGAAGCGCCGCTCAAGAGAAAGCCGAACCAGTGGTATGATATTGTGTTAATAATTAATAATTGTTAAAGTCTACATATATCAGTGCAAAGCCAATTATGTAAATTTAATTCGGAATGCGATGGACGATTATATATTATTTTGTATAGAAATCATCATATCAACCTGTTCAGGTACCAGATATAAGTGAATTACAACGAAGTGCACCTCAAGAAAAAATTGAGCCTGTCGTATGTACTTGGCATTTTTTTTTTTTTTGTTTATCAATAACTATTTGTATCTCCATGTGTAATGGTATTCATTGTTCAATCAATTGGATGATAAAAGCGTTCCGCATATCAACCTGTAAAACCCCCCAAACCAAAACCGATTAATAGTGCACGTTTGGCGTTCTTAAATGCTGGGAAAGAAACAGAACCAGAAAATACATATCGAAAAGACCGTGAAGATCGTGAAAGAGCTGAGCGCGAGAAGGCCAAACGTGAAGAGCAGGAACGCCTGCGACAAGAACGCGAAATAGCTGAACGTGAAGAACGTGAGAGAGCTGAACGTGAAGAACGTGAAAGAGCTAAACGTGAAGAGCAGGAACGCTTGCGACAAGAACGCGAAATGGCTGAACGTGAAGAACGGGAACGTAAGCGATTAGAACGTGAAAGAGCTGAACATGAGGAACAGGAACGCGAACAATTGGAGCGCGAGGAATGGGAACGTGAACAATTAGAACGAGAAAGAGCTGAACAGGAGGAGCGTGAACGTACAGAACAACTAAGACGAGAGCGAGAAGAACAAAAAAGATTAGATGAAGAAAAACAACGTGCAGAAAAAGAAAGATTGAGACGACAAAGAGAGGAAGAGGAGGAGTTGCTTAGGCAAGAACGCTTGAAATTAGAAGTATGTAATTTTTGATATAAATATATTTATTTCTTTATGGATGATGGAAATTTATTTAAATACTGCGTACATACGCAGGAGGAGGAGCTACTTCGCCAGCAAGAATTGACAAGTGCCGAGGTACTATCTAAATCTTCAAAGTAATGCTTAATATTGTTTATTAGTTTTCATTTAAGAAATTGTTTTTTCAATTTTACGCAATTTAGGCTACAGAAACCCAAACCCTTTCAGCACGTGTTCTTTATCCCTATGATGCTGGTAAACATATTATTTTCTCATTTCTTTTATATTGCATATACTTTTTAAAAAACATATTTTGAATGTCTTTATTATTTTTAGCCGAAGATAATGAAATGTCGTTAATAGAAGGCGAAATAATTGTAAACATCAGCCAAATAGATGACGGTTGGTGGCAAGGTGAAAGTAAGGATGGTTCTCGTTATGGGTTATTCCCTGGTAAGTAGCATTTATTTTATATAAAGATCTTCTTATTATCTGTACTAAATCGATTATGCAATAAAGCAAATTATGTGGAGTCTATTGAGGGTGAAACTGAACTCACAACCGAAACGGTAAATAGCAGTCATTTTGACTAATGCAAATATTACCAAACATTATGGACTAAAATTTAATATTTTCTTGCATCAAGTATGAACAAGACGAACCTGAGCCTGAACCCGAGCCTGAACCTCAGCATGAGCATGGGCAAACCGCTGGAAAGTCGGCCAAAGCCCTCTATGATTATGATGCCGGTGAGGATAATGAAATTTCATTTAAGGAGGATGATATTATCAATGATATTGAATTTGTATCGGATGATTGGTGGCAAGGTACATCACCAGATGGTGTAATTGGACTCTTCCCGGGTAAGTAATTTTTAAAGCAATTTTTTATGCACTTTTTTTCTTTCTTTTTGGTATTGATTTCTTTTCTATTTACAGCTAATTATGTGGAGTTAATTTGACATTAAGTTATCATGTAAAATTAGTTTTTTTTTATAATTCTATTGAGTATATAATTTTAAATCAGGTTAATGAAAAATAAGGCATCATGTAAAATAAATATAAGCTAGTATTGTAAAATCCGATGTTAGTTATCAGTGATGTGGCAAATACTTATAAAAGCTTATTAAAAGCTTGATCATAAAATAATATACTGTAGATTTAAACTATCCTAATAAAGAATTTTATTTCAATTTAGATAAGTATGTGTTATACATACTAATAGTATTTATTGGGTGGAACGAATTTGTCAAATATGATTTTCATAAAGTTCAAACCAAGAGATTACCATATGGTACATTGATAATGCCACCCTTTTTAGCATCATATACTATGTTTCCTCTTACAATTGTTTGTTTAACTGTACCATAAAAAGTTTTTCCTATATACGGGGTAACTTTGTTTTTAAATTGAATAATATCTTTTGTAATCTTTTTATTAGAAAAAAAAAAAGGATTAATGTGCGAAATATATTTACATAAAAAGAACAGAGATGAATAAACTAACCGTAAAGGTTTCCTCAGGGTTCCAGATTACAATATCCGCGTCATATCCTACTTTAATATCACCTTTTCTTTCCTGTAAGCCAACTTGTTTAGCGGTATTTTTTGACAACCAGGTATTTAAATTATGAAAACTAGATAATAAAGAAGATTAAACATGGAAAAAGTGTATTTAATAGTTTATAAAGGAGTCAAACCTGCAACCACGTTTTTTCGCTTCAGTCCATAACACTGGTAATCCAAATTGCAAAGTAGAAATGCCACCCCAGGATTTTAAAAAATCTCTTTCATCATCTTTTTTATCTAATTCCTTAAGGTCAGCTGTACATGGAGAATGGTCAGATACAACATAATCGATTGTGCCATCAAGCAAAGCCTTAATAATAATTAGTCACGTTAAAATTAATATTCATTTTTACGATTTTTATACTTTATCGTTATCACACACCTGCCAAAGTTTCTCTTGATTTACTTTTTCCCTGACAGGAGGACAGCATTTGAATTCCGTCCTACCTAATGGTACGTCTTCGGCAGACAGACATAAATAATGAAAACAAGTTTCAACGGTTAATGGGACACCATCGGATTTGGATTTGCGGATCATATCAATAGCATTCGCAGCTGACAAATGAACAATATGAGTGCGTACAGTACTATATTCCTTAGCAAGTCGAGTAACAAGAGAAATGGCATTAAGTTCAAGAGATTGTGGGCGAGATTGAAGAAAACGATTATAATGGGAAGAGTTTTCATCAGACATCTCAAGAGATTTATCAATATCATTTCCATCGTTAGATTCCATTTCGGCATGAAACATAAATATTGAATTATGACCCTTTTTATGAAAATAAATATTTTATTATGTAAAGATCTGATAAAGAAAATTAACTTTGAAAGTTAATTAATAATTAAGAGACTTTCCTGTAACTCTTTATATGCGTTCCTAACATCTTGCTCGTTTACA